AGCCCCGAGGGGCTCCCAGCCCCCAGAGACCCTCCTCCCTCTGAGGTGAAGAAAAGCAAACGGAGCCCAGACACTGCCAGCCTAGAGAGCTCCCCCGAGCCTACCCCACATGCTGGGGAGAAGGACCCTGCTGGGGTCCTCTCGGGCCGGGTGGGTGCCTGGACTTGCTGTCCCTTCCCCTGCCCTGGGCCCGGGGTGTACCAGCCCCCGGGCACGCTGTCCCCGTCGCCCTTCCTGGGGCTGGGGCTGTGGAGGAAGAGCGCGGCCGCACTGCCAGCGGAGGTGCCGCACTTCTGCAAAGAGGCCGATGGCATGGGGCAGAAACTCTAAAGGCCTGTGGTTTTGAAACCCATCCCCACCAAGCCTGCTGTCCCCCCGCCGATCTTCAATGTTTTCAGCTATCTTTAGCCAGCGGGTGTTGGAGTCACGCTGAACACCACAGCTCCTGAGAGTGGACTGAAACGCCCGGTCAGGCACCAGGCGTGAGCTGCTGACAGTGTGGAGTGGCGGGGCGAAGGAGGCAGGTAAACACACCCTCTTCCTTGTGGGCATGCTGGAGTGAGTTAGTAACTGTTGGAAAGCTCCTCGGGCTCCACTCTCCTCTCAGTATACAGGTGTAAATCAGGAATAAGCCTTACGAAGCTGGTGGCATGGAGCATAAGGCAGACAGGGCTCTTTCATCGGTGGGCATTGTCTGAGCTGCGGCAAGCAGGGCTGCGGGCCATTCATAGCCACACTTGCAGCATCTAGGAGACCTCCACCATGTGGGAAGATCTTTCCAGGTTTGCCCTGCAGCAACAGCAGTGAAATGAAGTGAATTAAACCCATTCAAACAGTTTTTGTACTTTAAAGTAATTCCAGAGAAGTCAAGATATTCAGGTCACTTCCTTTTGCGTGCAAGAGACTGGAAGGATGGTATTTAATGTAGAAATCACACTTGTGAATTGATTTAAGCTCTTCTGGCATGTAAATACTGAGAGAATTAAAAGAAAAAGTTATAGGAAGAAAAGAGGTAATTTTATTTTGGGGATTCTGCAAATGCAGTCTGCTTATTTTTGCCCCACTGGGTAGGGCACAGGTTTGATTTGCAACTGGTGTGTAGACACGAGGGCTGAAAACTCTGCCTATTCAGAGTGATATAAATCAAAATCAATTCTTCTGGGGATGGGAAATTAGCTAGTGTTAAACTGGTGCAAATGGAAGCAGGATGAATTTCCACATTAGGAATTGTTCTGCATCAATAGAACAAATGAGAAACTGTATTACTTGAATGCAAACCCATAAAATATGATAGAAGAAAAAAGTGTACAGAATACACTGCCTTGATTTCTGGCTCACAGACATCTTTTATTTTGCCTGATTTTAAGATGCTATCACAAGACCTGTCTACAGATGATTTGCCTGGTATTTTCCCAATTATTTTAACAAATTGGCATTAAAGAAGTTAATAAGGGATTTTTTAAAACTTAGGTTTCTCTTAACCTCTGGAATAAGTAGTGCTAAGGCACAGAACATGAGCTCTGAAAGGTTTAATATTGCAGCCCTATGTATCTATTCAGTTATACTGGGGAAAATCACTGAGGTCAAGAGAAGTGTATGGGGGGGGGGGTAAGTATGGACACCCGTGGTCTTCCAGGGCCTGCTCTTGTTGAAGCTAATGGGAACTTCTCCCAGGATTCAATAAAAAATGGCCTCAATTGGCTTGGTCTCTGTCTAGCATAGCTCCCCATGACCCTTGGTATCTCTGTAAGGGGAAAAAACAGGCAACACTTCCTTTGAGTGCATTGCAATAATGAAAAATTTATCATCTTAAGCAATCGTAGAGTATTATTTTAGATCTTCTGATGGGGCTTGGTGTTACATAACCAGGTTGCAACTTCTGTTAGGATATGAACTGTTCTCAGGCTAAAAGTAGCTCATTCTTTTCCCAAACCTCACAATATATCCCACCAATGTTTACTTACAGAAACAATGGCTGTAATGTGTTTGTCCAGCAGGCAAAAAGCAGAAATGGATATGGCTTTCATTGCTTTCTGCCTGCCACCAGCACTTAATATATGTACCAGGCTTGTATAGACTACTCCTATACGAAAGAGAGCAGGAAATGGCAGCACATATCTGCAACTACATGCAAGGTACCAAAGAGCTGATCTAAGGGTTAAGGACATCAGGTGAGTTCTTGATCCAGAAATAAAGATATGGATACACTTAGATGTCTTTCCCTTTTTGTCTGTTTGGAAAAAAAAAAATCCATGAAGAAACTCTGTCCCTCTCAACAAGATTTTCTAACATAAATTAGAGGCAGTACCCTCATTTAAGTTAAAGGGAGGAGAACTACAGCTATAAATTTGCAGAACTATAGACAAGGAATTTTTTGACATGGAAATAGGGGTGCTTTCTCACACCAATAGCCCTGTGTCACTGTTAAAATCCGGATGAAGCCAGATGCTGAACTCTGTCTCAATGCTGTCAATGCAAAGGAGCTTTCTTGGCATTGATGTGGATTTCCATCTGGGTGACCAGAGAAATTCGTGTAAAGAACCACAATTATTACACTGATTGCTGTAAACAAATGTTCCTGCTCAAGTTCAGAAGGGAAATTTGAAAGTGCTGCATATCACACCAGAATATGGGTTTCTATCAAAATTAAAACACTTGGCAAAGTGGATAGCCTCTGTAGAAATTTTATTTCTGAAGAAATCCAGAGAAATAAGAGAGTTAAAATAAAATTTCTACCTTTTGGTTATTAAATTCTTTGTTTTCTTTTTCTTCTTTTAAACTGTCTTTTATTTGAATGTATGTTGCTGTACATTTTCCATGTAGTAGAATAGCATGTTTTTAAGTTATGATGAAGGATTGAACCAGACTGTTCCAAACGACCTCTGACACAGAGATATTTATGCACTTACCCTCAGATTTAAACTGATGTTACTTTTTAAAATCCTTAAAATCCTTTGTGACATGAAACTTCCCTGCCCAGCCCAGGGCAGGCAGTGGCCCTTGCTGGGGCTCTGAACTGATGCAGCAATGAAGTAAAACATAAATGAACAGAAGACAATTGTTAAGTATATTCAAAATCATTGAATGGGGATGTGTGAGATTTTCCAAAAGGTTTGCAAAGAATAGCAACTCTGTCTGCTCTCTAGCAATACTGTTCTCTCATCCCTGAGATGAACATCAAAATTATTAATTGTCCAAGCTTGGATTGATTCAGACTTTTCCTGGCTATTTTTGTGTTTGGTTGTTCAATGTTGCTATTCAGGACAGCTGACAGCCCTTCAGAATCTACTTGTTTATTCATACTTTGTTTGAAAGATGGAAACATAACATTCAAAAGCTGTTATTTACTACAACAATGCAAATTTAAACTGTTAAAACCACAATACCTTATATAAATAATGGGAAGGGAGAGGTAAATGAAAAAGCTTTCATACAAAATGAAATAAAAAAATCAAAAAGTGCACAAGAACATCAAGTGAATTGCACATGTTGCAGTAAAAAAAGTACAGTAACCTGGTCATGAAATATTTGTAGAACATTTCACATAAAGTCATCATCTCTGAAGGAGTCTGTCTATCACACTCAGTAAAAACAAGCTATTTTTTCTTGCACTAGAACTACTGATCTGCTTACAAAACCTGGTTTGTTTGGGTTTTGGGGTATTTGTCTTTTCACGGTAACTTGTAGATAGATGCATTGAAAGCACATTGAAATTGCGCAGATTCAGTACTGCGCACAAAATACTGTGTCAATGTCTGGAGTGGAGAGGTAGCAGGCTCCATTTCAGTGCAAATAAATGTAAACTGGCTGTGTGAAGATCAAGCAGAAATGACTCAGTAACATTGTAATTACCAGATTCCCCTTCTAACAGACTCTTCTCTCCTCAGTTTCTGTGTGCAATGTGCGCTTTTCTTCCTGCAGTTGTGGTACATACCCATCAGACCAGTGCTCTCCAGCTCAGTGAACCTCCTGCTCAGGACAGATGGTTGAAAGCAACCAGGACATGGGTCTCCCAATAGACATGAAAGTCCCTTAGTTGAAATAAGAAATGGACTTTCCATATTTGCTCCACTCAAACCCAGTTTCAACTTCCCCAAGGACAGAAAAAGAAATTGCAACCAGCAAGACTTTTGTGTACATAACAGTGTTGGCTCAGGGAAAATTTCCAGTTTGGGATAGGTTATGAAATCCCACCCCCGTGGTTATACATGCAGTTGGTGACTGAATCCTTCTACTAGCCAGCTGTCTCCAGGACTGTCATTGAACATAAACAAGCACTTAAGTACATGGTCTTCACTAAGCTGTGTCTATGTCCATCACCCTCTATGATTCTGTTACACTCATTTAATTTCAAGGAATTTTCTTCTGATTTATATCAATATGAGTAAGACCCAGACCTTCACTGCTCAAGCACCATAAAGTGAGAGCTGCACAAACTCCACAGGCAATTTTTTATTAGGCCCTTTCTAAAGGCCCTACAGGGCCTTTACTGGCAAAACTGGTCTAAAGGTTTCCTATTCTCCATCACTTTCCCTCCACCCAGTATTTTTTCAACCTGAAGCAATTCCCTGTTCACACTGCAGGAGACAAGGGGCTAGATCTTAAACTGGTAGTAACGGAATCCAGTTGACAAAATTTCAGCAGTAGGGGAAATCTCACCTGACTTTCCAAAGCTTTGCAAGAAGATCACTGTTCAGTGTGAATTGAAACTCTGTTCATTTTTCAACTTCCTTTGAATTTGGGAAGGGGACTGCTATGGACAGAGTGCCCATAGCTGTAACCACTTCTTCTGCTCACATCCTGTCATACAAGTGCTGAACACATTTCACAGAAAACCATCACAGAATCTGAACTCGTGTGCCCAGACTTGTATTTGTGCAACACACTTTTAGTCCTGTGTTAAGGTATAAAACTCCACACAAATAAAACTCAGTGCAATGCATTTTCCCTACCTACATTTCTGTCTGATTCCATGGATGGCGTGCAGGCCAACAAACAAAACCAGATCTGTCAGATCTCTGGTGGGGAATCCAAACAAACCATGATGCACAGCTCCTTTATCACCTAAGGTAAGAATGAGTGTGCGTCTAGCATAAGATCTGCAAAGACTTAGTTCCAAATTTAGGTTCTTCCATCCTTATTTGGGTGCCTAGTTAAAAATAAGGCACTCATCAAATCAGTTCAGCAAGTCACACCTGTCAACTGAGCTGTAGTCACTGCCAATAACCTTTCATGGGCTCCTCGGCCTCCCCAGCTGTGAGGGAATGTGACTTGTTAAAAACTTCAATAAAAGAATTTCACGGACAATTATAGTGGTACAGCTGATAGATGGTAACTTGTTAAGCTGCCATAAATCAGTTGTGGATCTGAGCTGTAAATAGGTGACCTAATTTTCAAAGAAGCTGAGA